CCCCCCCCCCACACACACACACACACACACACACAGAGGCATCCTCATTGTAGCCAATTAGTGAATGAAGCGAGTCCGTGCCATGTTTCACTTTTCGGCAATTAGAGGCTGAGCTCCACCTACTGGGGACCATCATGGTCAAGTACCAGTTAGTGGAGTTAATCTCACACATACACACACACACACACACATACATGATCAGCGATTACTAATCGACAGGATGACAAGGAAAAGCCCCATTATGTGGTGAGGCGGTAAAAAAAAAAAAAAAAAACGTGCAGTAGGCCGCAAATGAATGCCGCTTGGACTTTGGACGTCTCTGAGCTGGAGGCTTTCGGCCGGACGACTGTTCCAAGCCTCGGCGTCCCAATGCGTCTCGTCCAGGTGTGCGAGAATGCCGGCAAACGTTTCCCACCGAAGAATAAAAAAAGGCAATGGCGAGATCGGCTTGGGAGGGCCACGCTGGGCCGCATGCATCAAAACAAAAACCAATGGCCAGGAGCCCTGCAGGAAGTGATTAAAACACTGGCACATGTACACCAGCGCAGTTGAGGTGGGCTGCTAATAACATTCTCTTTCTCCTCCTTTTCTTTTCTTACTCAAACCGCCGCGCCAATTAAAGATCTGAGCTTTACATCGCGTTTTATTCCTTCCAGATTGCCTTTTATAGCCGTTATTTTTGCCTTAAAGTACAAACAAAATGCCAGCCAATGGGCTATTGACTGCTCGCATATGGCCGCCGTCGAGAAATTGGTGCGAGGAGCTTGTCGAGGAGGAGGAGGGCGGTGATAGTTGGGAGGCGGGGGTGTGCGGGAGGTAGACAACGGGCATATGGCGCAGACATGTGGATTTGTCTTTAATTTAGGAATTCACATATGCCGTCGCTCCCGCCATCCTCGCCTGTGTCGCAATCTCACGCTAATCCACACCGAAAGCGACCAAATGCCATGTTGATTGCAAAAAAAAAAAAAAAAAAAAAAACTTTACGAGGAACTTTTGGAGCAAGGTAAAGACTGCAAAAGTCTGTATATCGATACTATACAAAAGGTTTGCTGCCTAGATGGGCAGTCAGACCAGATCTAAACAGGAAGAGAGTAAAGTGAGTTCAGGAGTCATTCGCTTTTAAGTAAGTATAAATTCTTACGATTACAAATAGCTTTCATTCGAGTTTGCTGCCTAAACGGGCTGTCATAGAAAATTAAAGCAGGAGATGAAATTCGCATAACAACAGAAGAGCCAGACTGGTTTGGTGCCTCACTAGCCGACAGATTTCAAAAATCCAAACTGGACATGAACAGAGACAGTGCAACGTTTTGAGCAAAGACGTCATTTACTTTGAGTATTTTTCGCAAGCGCATAAGTGTCCAATAATTAAAATTAAAAAAAAAAAGCCAAAGATGTTGCTGCCTAAATTAGTTGTCAAAAAAATATATATATCAAAACAGGGCATGGACAACATTTGAGCCAAGAAATCCTGTTCTAGTTATTAAATATTGCACAGTCTACGGAGCTGTTACATACCCGACTAATTTGCTGCTTAAAATGGCTCTCGAAAAATAAGCCGGTTCAGATAAAACAGGAAGTGAGCAACATTTTAAGGTCAGAATCGTGTTCTTTTGAGTCAAGATTGCAAGAGCCTACATTTCTCGCCACACGGACAGCCCGACCTGTTTGCTGCCTAAATGGGCTGTCGTCGAACATCACAATACTACTGCTGCTTGTACGCGTGCGCATAGTGTGTGTGTGTGTGTGTGTGTGTGTGTGTGTGTGTGTGTGTGTGTGTGTGTGTTTGCGAGGCATTCCTGGGGGTTTGCAGGTTGGCTACGCTATTCCGACATTCCATCAAGGGCGACACGGCACAACACATTTACACTCCGAACAAAGCCGCCTGCAGGCGAGGCCGCTGGGACGCCAACCTGTCCCCGCCGGCACCTCCCCATCTCCAGCCTCCACACACACACACACACACACACACACACACACACACACACACACACACACACACACACACACGTGTACACACT